CATATATTTTTCAAAATATTTTGACTCGTGTTGAACTATTTACAGGTATATAAAATGTTCGATTATTATTAGTTTTTTTTAAACTCAAGTCGAAGAAAAATTTGGTCAAACATTTGAAAATGTAATAGTTCTTAGGTCCTTCGTAAGTGTTTCTAAGTGGAAATAAAAAATTTAGCATAAATCCACAATAATCTTTTATAAGAGTTTGAATTCAGAATTGACAGACTGTCTTCACTCAGAATCGTTTTTCGTATACAATAGTTTTACATAATTTAAGATTGAACTCGAATTTAACACTATCCATTACTGTGACCAACTTAAAACCTACTGTACAGCATAGTGACAATTCACTAACCAACTTTTTTATTACTAAAGTGTCGAATAACATTATTATGTTTTAGTTAAGATATCATACGGTATACAGTTTCAGTCTTAACCTTTCTGTTTGTATTTTAAGTCGTATAATAATAATATAATATAATATTAAATAGAGAATACGTTTACCATGAATCAAATTAAAACAATATTCTTTTCATTTTTTGTTATTGTGAAACAGCGTTTCTTGCAAAATTAATAGACTATAGTAATAAATAGTAATAATAGTGTAATATCATTAAGTTTATGAAATAACTATTACTACATTTATTATATACAATATACACACAAGTACATATTATTATTATTACATATACATTATATTTGATACTATTATTTTTTATACATTTGCTTAATATTCCGTTATAGGAATGTTTACCTGCAGTTGTACATTAAATTGTAAATAGCAGTAAAAATGTGTATGCAATGATATAATATAATGGTTGTATGAATAAAACACTTGGTAATTTGAAAATTGTCTGTGAAATATCGTGTAAAAATGTGAAGATATGCACCAAATTATATAGTTGTAATTTATAAAAAGTACAGCCAAAGCTCAATTCAATAAAATATTTTTGATCATTTTTACTATGTTTCTTAATCTATTTTTTAAATATTATATAATAATATGTACAATCCATAAATGTTTGTTTTTTTACATTAAGCTTATGAGTGGACAATAGGTAATACGCGTTAGCATGAATTAGATAATAAAAAAAGCGGATGCCTGATGTCAATAAAGAATTAATTAATTTTTTGGATTTAATAGATGTCAGCTGCACCATTGCAGCTAATTGTTTAAGTGGATTTCTGGGGATGTTACTTGAGTTGAAATCTCTAATGAGGTGGTTTGGGTTGTTAGTCAAACCGGATAGGAATTATATATAGAAAATGAATACAATTTTGGATATGGTGTATATGTGAAGATCAGAGTGTTAAGAATATATCAGCACACTGTTTGTTGTCTTTTATGCCGAACACCCACGGGAACATAGACAAAGTGCATTCACCTAAAATCATGTTTTTATATTTTTAAGTAATCCCTTAGTGTAAAATCAGTAGTTACAAAAAGAGAATAATATATTTTTGAGGGTATGACAAAATGACTTTTCTAAATATTGTCTCAAAACAATTTAAATATAATTTATATACACAAATTGTTTATTTATTTTGAAAGTCCAATATAAAGTCAAAAAAATAATAAAATATAAAAAAGGTATGATCAAACCTTCAAAAATATTATCTTCTATAATTTTTGTAAGTAGTGATTTTACCCTAAGATTTCTTGAAAATGATTTTATGTGAAAGCAATTTTCTCTATATTGAGCTTGGGTCTGAGAAAGAAAACAAATATTTCTCTGACATCCTCTTATGTATGATTGCAGGCACTGAAGGTGCACCTGTTACTGGGCTACTGAGTGTAGTTGATTTTAATTTTCGATTTTTTTTTTATGTTTGATGGTTAAATACTTTTTAACAAAATAATATATTTTTATGGTGACTTAAATAAACAAATCAATCAAGTTATAAAAACTATTCAGCCTTTTAGTTTTTGTTTTTTTTTGGGGGTGGAAGGTGGTATTGTTATCTAGCCCCTCATCACCCACAAGCCAGTAGTTACGCCTATGGATGTCTGGGAATGCAAAATATTATTTATACGTTGTTCGTGTATTATAATCAAAATAGTAAATACTAATTGAAAACGAGATCGCATTCCGAACGGTCCCGTACGAAATAAACAATGCGACGAGGACTTGATTTTCAAACAAAATAACAGGTACGTTTTAGTATGCAGCTCTTGCTTGTTGAAACTGTTCATCGTATACTAAAATCTAAAACGACGTGATTCGCGATACATAGGTCGCCACGTGATTCGTCATGACTTATGAGACATCAAAACTCGTGAAAAACTCCATTCTTGCCAGTATAATGACTATTATTGTGGCTGGTACCTATAAATTCTATTGCTGCAATTAAAAAAATATTTCGACATAGGTAAATTTACTTGTCTCGTTGGATAGTACGAAACTTGTTTCTCGGGTAGTTACATGTTATTCGTACGACCTATAGGCTTTAATTTTCCGATTTTCGAACTTTATTGTGATTATATTCAAAATATAAAATACTCTGTAATATGTATCTAGCTTTGTATTTATATTTGTATTATTTTAAACTATTTAATATATTATAATAAAATTTAAGTAAACTAAGTCGGGTAAACGTTTTATTAGATCCTCTATTTTTCTGATAAGAAAATACGTCACCCTTGGTTATTTATTTAATTGCATCCATAATACATATATATGGACTTTTAATGCTACAAAAATTACATATAGTACCTATATGGTTTATATAGCTGTAATTTATGCATGTATTTTTTAGTAATACAAAAGTCAACAATTGTAAATATTGATGTTCTTAATTTGACTGAATTACGTAGGTATTAAAAAACATCAAATAACATCAAATGAATGTTTCTATTTATAAATTACTTCTTAAATATTATAATTAAATAAAAAATAAAAGTACTGAATAGAAAAACAAACGAAAATTAATTTTTATGAAACAAAGTAATAATATAGGTATAAAAGTATGAATGGTTCACCTAGACAAATTAGTTAATGGCATTTATTGTATAAAATGAATAAAAAATCAACTTATAATGTTTTATCAAGGAGGTTAATATTAGTATCAGTTTTTTTATACCTATAATATGTACCAACTTTAGTAATTTAAACTATAATAGTACAGCCGTGTACAACTAGGTTTTTAATCTTGCAAATTGCAGTTCACCTGCTTCCTTATCTTTAAAGGAACAGAAATCACTACTCTTGCCAAATGTTTTTAGCTCTCGTTTTATTATGACATTTTTGTACAAATACGTAAGCCGTAATCGGGATATTTAGCTTTAATAACCACTGAAAACAGTAATTAAAAAAGGTAATTTTGGTCATCTTTGAGCTATCTCCGCCTTGCCTCCCCTCTTTAAGACGGCCATGGTTTTCGGACACAATTTACGACGGTAAATGTCGTTCAACAACATTCTTATATAGCCGTGTTTCCAAAAAAACTTGTTCGTTTTATTACTCATTATAATATTAAAATGGTCATTGCACCTATATAATATTATATACATAGGTGTGTACTCTACTGTATATACAAAATGTGATAAATGAATGTTTCACATTTTGAGTAATTTCAAAACTGAAATCGTGTAAAACATTAAACCGTAGAAAATGTCTACGTGGCGTATCTGGTAATATCTGGTTGCATTTTCATGTAAGCGTACCTATTTATATCTACACATATTATATACGAATCGGGCTGTTGAAAATTGATTTAAAATATCATCGGGTTGGTACTTATCAGAGTTTACTACTAAGCAGTACTAACCCTTACGGCATACACACACAATGTATGCATACACAGTATAATATATAACAGGTACAAATTGCGTTATCATAGTAAACCGTCATATTATCAGCAAACGCATGTATTTAGTTCAGTCTTAGTTCATATTATGGTCGTGCACGGTCGTATGTGTTATGGACCGACAACAAACCACCGTCATCGACGGCGGCGGCGGCGGTCATTGGGTCGTCCGCGGGATCTTCCGGAACGGTCATCACCGCCGCATTAGGGCAGTCTGCACTTGATTTGAACAATTGCGCGCACGTATGAGTGTGTGAATGTGTTCGTGTGCAAGTGTGCATAACTGCGGATATGTGTGTGCTCGGTTACGGGTCATTTGGTCGACGTATCGCAGCAGAGGTCAACGAGCAAATACCGTCAGCGGCGGTGAGTTTTTAATTAATGACAGAAACGGTGACTTTATAGGACTACAACTTACACTGTTGCGGCGACGACCGCGACGACTAGAAATATAGATGGAACATTATTATTATTACTATTATTGTTATTTCGTGCCCTTCTCCTGGGAGGGAAGTAGTGGCGGCGGTAGTATAGTGACTACTATATAGTATAATAGTAGGTACCTATATAGACATATTATTATAGTAGTTGTAGAAGTAGTAGTAGTAGTAGTAGTAGTAGTAGTAATAGTAGTAGTAGTAGTAGTAGTAATAGTAGTAATAGTTCGAGTATAGCGCTGTGTTTAGAAGAAGAAAAAGAAGAAGAAGAAGAAGGAAACGTGGTGAAAGATCTGTTGTGCCAGCGCGCGGTAGTGGATTGAGGTTAACCTCATTCGTTCGTTGGCACAGACCGCGGCACCATGTCCGAATCGCGTGAGTGAAACACAGTGGTTTCGCCGACAATTTTACGATTTAATACACATATAAACGCACGCGTATATTTCTTACGTGCATATACAAGTTTAAACATTTCCGGTTGTTCCCGACAGTGTTTGTTTAAGATTTTTATATTTTATATCGTTTCAGTCCGTTTTGTTTGTTCTATGTATTTTGTTTAATTTTAGTATTTTTTTAAAACCCTTTAACTGTTTTTAAGTTTACTATTTTTTTTTTTTGGCGTGCGTAAGATTAATATGTTGTGAACTTTGTACGAAATGTTCGGCGTGTCAAAGGATTACGAGCTCGCTGTTTACTCTATCGTCGTAGTGTCAGTTTAGAATTTGGATTTACCGCGAAATTAACGAACGCGCTATAATGGCTACGAGGCGCAAGAAGCTCTTGCCCGCCAGAACTCTGGCCCTGTTACTGGCCAGCTTATTTGTTTTTGACTGTTTAGCTTTAAGTGAAGGTGAGTGAACTTTATTGTAATTAAGTAATTATTTAACTTTATTGGTTCGGTTACATATAGTCTATTTCAGTAATGTTCAAATTGTATTTTTAACTATAGATGTACTTATAATTAGTAATGACTAATTTGTGCAGCAATCTATAAATCAACATAATATTTAATGTCAATATCTCACATTATTTCATTGTCTATAGACAAAAAATGTTTGCTCGTTTTGAATATTTAAAAGTTCTAATACCTCTAATTTACTGAAATATGGCACTATTTTTTCAGCTTTGAGCTTTAAGACATTAACTGCATATTGGATGGATACACTTGTACTATACCAATTAGTTTTTGGAATATACTATAAAAACAGTTATTATTAATCAGAAATGTATGTAATGAAATATTAATTAATTTAGATATTTTAATCTGAGTCATTATACTGACTTGTTTGGCGCATTGTTTTAAATGCTAAGAAATTGTGTTCAAATTAGCCGTTTGCACATTTTTAAATTATTGTCTAATCTCTAATTTTGTTCCTAAAAAATGTTTTTTGACAAAATCAAACAAAGTGTATAATCATCATAATATAACTCATGATACTTGTTAATATTTTGTTTGATACGCAATGCGCCTGCCATGATGTCATTCACTCTAGCGTTAAAGTCACCAAAAGTCACATAGTCGTTATTTGTTTTCCGAATAAGTGATGATATATTTTGTAGTAACAAATATATTATATTTCTGTTGTAAACTCTCTGATCCGATAAAATTCGTATAAAAGTACAAATCCATACATCTTATTTACTCGCGATTTACTCGTTTTCCGTCTTCCCTTTCTTTCGAAATGGTATATTATTATCATTGTTCGGTGTATTCTATTGGAGCGCCGCCGGGGCGCTATGGTAAACGATACATATATATACTCACACGCGGGACGAACAATAGCGAATAGTAGACGATGAAGGTCGGATACTATTTGAAATAAATTAAATACAATGGGGGAAAAAAAAACACGTAAATTGAAAAACATACTTTCATTCGTGTACAAATAATAATATTAAATTTGTCATTAGCATAATATTATACGATCATAATATATAATATTGAACAACGGTTGTTTTTTCTATGATAATATACTGTTTGCGAAACACCGATCGTTTTCAGCTATTGTTTTTCCACTATATAGAGCTGGCTATAGTTGTTATTTGATAATAGTTAACAGACCATATATATTATATTATATTAGATTATTATCGAAGAGATGACACTTGCTTTATCTCCTCACCATTATCACATAATCACTAGCGGGTGTGTTGTATGTAAAAAAACTCATTCTCAGGAGCGCCGTCGGTGTTTGTCACGTGCTGAAAAGTAAAAGTTCATTGTATTATTAATATTATTATTATTGTAATCCAAATAATAGTGATCGAAATTAATTAATCAAAATGAGAGTGTGAGCTGCGTATAATCCAGGAAGAGTTATTTGCGATAGGGCGTTGAAGTCTTCGCGTATATATAACGTAATTGCAGCCTCCTCCACCCGCATTTTGTTTCGCATTTTTTTTTTTTCATCACATAAATACTTTCTTCGTATGAATATGGTTTTAGTTTATTGCGTTTAAACACGAATTGAGGCATGTGTGTATGTACATAAATATAATAGCATTCGTCTTTCAATGATAGGTTTTTCGTGCTTAAAAATCGTATTCCCCGTTGGCGGCGAAAGTGGTTGCGCATATTTTATTCCCGACGGCTATTTCAATGATTCTCATACTACCGATTTGGTGGCATATATAAATAACTCGGAATCAACTCTAGAGAACCAAAATAATTGCATTTTTTTACTCGTCACCTAAGAGGACATAGGTATTTCTGCAATACAACGTTCAAATTATTCATTTGATTCCTTTTCAATGTAATAGTACAACATAATTATATTAATGTAGTGAAATTTAAGTTTGTGTTTAATATCATCGCAACACTAATAATAATACATTTTTATTAGTTATTACTTATTATTACTACTTATATAATGTATAACGTTATTACGTTATTATACCTATATATACTGTTTGTAATCGGCATAGTGTTTTATTGTCAAATTTCACGTAATCACGTTCCAAAATACTTATCAAATGAATAAGAACAGATCAATGTACCCAATTGGTTTTTTTTGTGATTGTATTCTTGATGTAAAAGATACTGAACCTGTTGGCGCGACCAGCCATAGCGGTTCCAGGTGAAATCCGTCGGAGACGTTAGACAGTTTTGTGAGAACTCATATACCTCGTTAGTATACGGTGTCTCTCATCTCCCCTCCAGACACCTCGACCAAATAACACACGTGTCGTTCGAAATTTAAATGTACCTACAGGTAGGTAGCAGCTATCATAAATTGAAATAAAATAAAAAACCACCAAGTAACTCCAGAGGGAATATAATATTATACGGATTACGGTGAACCGTAAATCTCGAAAGTCTTGCCAAAAAAATGTATAATAATAACGAATATAGAGAGGAAAAAGGTCAAATATAAGTTTAAAATGTTAGAAATATTTATCAGTATATTTACAATCACGCAAATAATATTATTACAATAAGTGTACCTATAGGTATATATGTATATAATATATATATACTCTGTTTTTCACGATTCTATTGAATGGCGAGCATTACGATGGGTTACGACGATATGACGATTCTCGGTCAATGCGATTCGTAGCGAATAAAAAAAAACGAGACGCAGTAAAATAATAATAACGATGATAATAATACGAAGAAGAAGGAACAGATTTGTCCGGGAAAGAAGATTTGGCGGTTTCGTCGTGAAGACAATGTGGCACAACGACGGGTGTGAGAAGGGGGGAAATAATCGCCGGATGACGGCGGCGTATGGTCGTGGGTTACCACGAACGACGGCGAGTCTGACACAATTCCTCCGGCCGGCCGGAGCCGGAAGCCTCCCAGCAATACTATACACGACTACCAGCCATTACTAGATATATTATTATTATTATTATTATTATTATTATTATACACACAGATACGAAAACCAGTCAGACCACACTCGATTTTCGCGCTATCGTTCTTTCTGGCGGCGGCGGCGACTGAAACATATATATAGGTATATATATTATATATATATATAATATATATATTCAACGCGTATCAGCATATATATATGGATTAAACACTGTATAGGTATACTAGAGCTGGTATATATATATATGTGTATGTATAAATACCTATAATATCGACTATATACCTATATCGTTCTATAAAATAATATTACACCTATATGTATTATATAGTATATATAAATACACGTTTGTGTGCCGACAAAATTCCGAAGACACGTGTTAACCATATACCATATATGAAAAGTTGCAGGTGTACCTATATTTTCCGATATACAGGTCCAAGTAACATATCAAATTATAGAAGTTTTCGATCGCCACGGACTTTAGATAACACTCACCTTACACACGAATATTTGCATCTAAATATATTATACGTCATATAGGTTTAAATGGATATAATACAGGTCATATGATTCTTATTATACTTAATTGGCAGTTGTGAAATTCTTGGGTGTCGTTTCAGTTTCTGCTGGGGTGCAAGATCTTAAGAAATCCATTTTTAAATTTCTCCTGACTTAAAAAAAACCAATTTTCTCTTGTTTTTAATTAATTTAACTTTTAAATTTACCTACATAGGCACGAATGAACTCCCAAAGGTTTTAAAATGTATTTGAAAAAGTAAAGTAAAAATATATTTTTTAAATAATAAAATTAAAACAAATAAATTGTATAATAGATGCATTCTAAGTATGAAAACGAAGGGTTATTAATTAATCATATTATAAAATATTTTATTAATATAATAATATACAATATACATATTGGTGTATTATTTTGTGTACACCGTATAACCGGCCAGTTTTGGAACTTTTTTAAATCCAAGGGGTGCAACTGCACACCACGACCCCTCCCCAACTTATGTCCACTATTATAATGTAGGTAAGTATGTACCTATATTAGAAATTATGCAGATATTCCCGAAACGGATCCAATAAATGTGTATAATAATATGTTTAGGTTTATAAGCACCGACCGCGGACAATGTATACGCATCGCGGTACACGTATATAATATAAAATATTATAGTTTATATATTATAACATACTCTTGAGCAGTGCATATACCCATATTATACCAGTGTAGTATAATATTATAGTAGCCCGCAGGGAGGACTGCCCACAAGAACTTCTACGCCGCCCGTGTAAGTCTTATTATACATATATATATATACTAGTATATAATATTATGTTGATGTCTCGTAGCGTACACGGTATATATATAAATAAATAATATATTAATATATAGGGCGGCATATAATGTTGATATACAAATTAATCGTTTTCGAAAAATGTGCGGAATGGTGTCAGATCCATTTTCAAAAGTGTTGTTGGCGCTGCCGTCTTGCAGCGCAGTGCACGGTGTTCGAATATTATGCGGAGACGAATAACGTGCACGAGAACTGTAAATATTCATAGGATTATAACAATAATAACGGCCAGTGAGTCGATTATGAGAATTTATTTATTTATTTAATGTCTAAATAACATTATATCACTCTTAAAATACCGGCAGTGTTTGACGGAATTTCGGAAACATAACAAGACGTATAAATATAGTACGCCTATACACATGACGAAATTTTTCATGAGGACAAACCGACAATGCGGTTTTTTCAAAGTCTACGACCAGCGAACGTCGAACCATAATTACCATTCCCGCGTGTATATTACGGTCGGTTCTTCGCATATTACGTGATGACAAAATTATTGGTTTGCGAATAGAAAACAAAAATTGTGTTACACAACGTCCTCGTCGTCGCTGTCGCTGTCGTGTCTTTAATACAATTAAACGAAAATATGAAACACGACAGCGGTGCATATATAGTGGATAATAACATTATATTATTATTATGTGCTTTAGGTTTGGACGTTA